AGAGAGAGAATTTTTTAATATTTATATTTTAGTTTTCGGCGGACACAACATCTTTGTTGGTATGTGGTGCTGAGGATCGAACCTGGGCCGCACGTATGCCAGGCGAGCACGCTACCGCTTGAGCCATATCCCCAGCCCCTCTCTGTAATCTTGACCCAGACCTCTGGCTCTTCTCTGAACCATCAATGCACAGGACAGGCTCCAGATGACAATAAAAGAACTGGGTTGATTTGAGCTGCAGCCCAAGGCAGAGCTTTGACAATTTGAGTCAAATCAACTCAATTGCAAACAAACAAGTCATAACCGAGACATCAATACCCCGCAGAGGAACACATCCGAATACAGTTTTTACAGAGTGACTTTCATAACGTTCCAGTGTCCAAATCAATAAATCCTAGTTATACAAAATGGCAGCTCCATCCTGGTCACCAAAGCCATGTCTCACACTGCCTTCTGAACCTCAGGCTGCAGGACGTGCAGAACAAAGGGGCAGCCAATGCCCCTGAGAGATGGAGTGAAGGAGAATCACACCTCCCCCAAGCCTCGGGAGCCCTCAGTCCCCACGTCTGTACAACAGGGCAACGCGGGTCCAGCTCGTGGTAATTAATCCAAATCAAATTTGTTGAACGCTTTGCTCAGGACCAGTCGATGTCTTTGCTTGTTGGTTTTCCGTCTTCTTAACCCATCTGTAGACTCTCTAAGAACAGGGTGCTGTGTGTCTGGTTATTTCAGCTACACCAGGGCAGAGCGCAGGTCCTGGAACCCAACTGGCACTCAATATTTACTCATTCAAGGAAGGAGGGGTACAGTTGGCCCTCTGTATCCATGGGTTCTGCCTCCTTAGAGTCAACCAACCACAAATCACAAATATTCAGGAAAAAAAAAATCACACACTGTACTGAACACGGGCAGGCCCTTTTTCTTATCATTATGCTCTAAATAAATAACTATTTACATGACATTTGCATTGTATTAATATTACAAGTGATCTACAGGAGACATGAAGTATATGGGAGGATGTGTCATATGTACAAATACGACATCATTTTATATTAGGGACTTCAGCATTCTCAGTTTGGCCTCCCTGAGGGGTCCTGGAGCCAATCTCCCACCAAGCAATGAGTGTGCATTCATATTAATTACCTGTGGACAGAACATTGGATATGGTTTCAGGACCTTTTGGTTTCTGGATATTAGCAGAACGAAGTTTTCTCTATCAGAGCCAAATGGCCACTGGACAAATCGTCTTACTGAGGTTAATAGAGGATGGTTATTTCTGTCTACGTTTCTTTCTGCATGAACACATTTGAATGTGAAATTGTTAATGCATCATAGCTACCTTTGAATTTTCTACTCAAATCTATTGATTTGGACAAGATGTGTTACCTTGACCAGTGTCTACTAGGGAGAATTAATCTCTTTAATTAATGCATTTTTGGGGGCCAATATTTATAGAGAACTTTTACTTCAAATATAAGTCTCAACATGGAGTGAGTCATCTATGGTCTCTGACCTTAAGGAACTGAGGTTCTAGCAGGAAAGACAAAGTTTCCACCGTGAGTCTGGCTGCTCTCCTGTCACCCCAACTGGTAAAGATGGATAGTGATACCAAAGAGCTGGCAGAGCCCTGAGCTCAGGGGCAGAGGAGACAGCAAGGGGTCGACCTAGGGGGGCAGTTAGACATCTTTCCTGCAGCAACAGAAACAGAAGGACAAGCTCTGGAGTGGCTCATGGTCTCAGCAATGAGGCTCTTAAGATTTATGTTTTCTTTTCTATCCAAGTTAAACCTGTAATGCAATACGGGCATGTTTACTGTGACTTCAGTGTCACGTGTATAATGGAGCCATCTTAAATTAGGAGATCAAGTGGTCAGCATGGAGCCATTTTTAAAATTCCCTAACAGGTATTCAATCACTCTGCCCCAATTCCATGCCCGCCCCAATTTAAAAATAGCTGATCATGTAGATTGTACCCCCAACTCTTCCTATCAGAGCAAAGGACAGTGCTTCATTAGGGATAAATGTTGGCGGACTGCCAGCCCAGGTGTGCTTGCTCACCGGATTCCCTTTGTGGTGGGGGACACACCCTTCTGCAGAAGGACAATTTTGATTTGCTGACCCTCTTCAGAGCACGTGTTTGATTTATCGTGATAAATACCTTGGTATTTCCAACAGGCATTGGGTTCAGGGCCCAGGTGAGACCAAGAAGAACAGGGGGAACTGCAGTCTGGGTCAGGCTGCTGGAACAGAGTAATTTCCTGCCTGAACCTGCCTGTTGACCTCAAGACTCAAAGCCCAAGGGCAACATCCAACCAACAACACTGAGGTCCTGCACCCCCACTGAGCCTGGAGATGGACTCACACAGAGTTCTTCCCCAACAAAATGAGATGTGGGTGTTAGTCTGGCATAAATAAATAATAAATAAGAGAGAAAAGTCCACTTTAAAAGGTAAGCAGAGTAAGAACCTAGTGAGAGCTCAAGTTCAGATGCTTTCAGGACCAGCTGACCACACGTTCCACAAAAGTGTCCAAATTCAATTTTAGACATCACCCTTCTGGATAAAGCCAAGCCAGACTTAGCCATGGGCGACCTGTATGTAGGGAAACAGACTTTCTCTTTTGGGTAATGGGGAGCCACGGAAGGCTTTAAGCAGGAGAGGAGAGCCAGGTGAGGAGACATGCATTGAAAGGCTGCTGTGTGGAGAGTCAGCTGTGGGGGGAGGAGGTTGAAGTCCTGGGAAAGTAAGGGGCATGCCGGTGCCATGTCAGTGGCTGCGGGGCTTGGAAGAAGGGCACGGACTTGAGACCGCAGGAGTGGGGGACTGGAGCTACGACAAAGGATCCAGAGTGCCACCAAAGTCCCTTTTTGTTAGCATTTTTGTTAGCATGGAAAGCATATTGTAAAGGGCAAATTACACAACCCAAGAGGAAATCCAAGGGCAGACAGAGGGAATAATAGAAAGGACTGTGGGCTTGGCAGTGTGATCCATTATTATTCTTTAAGGTAAGAAGAAAAAAAAATAATTGATCCTGGATGAAGAAATTGGGCTTGGCTGAGCCTGGGGCTGTGGGAGGCCAATCTTGCTCCAGAATTCCTTGCGGGCATGCAGCAGAGGGGTGAGCAGGAAGGAGGGCAGATGGCACTGCAAAGGCTTAATTAAAAAGACATTTTGTCCCAGTCTGGGGATGGGAAAATCTAGAGAATGGGCTTTGGGGCTGGGGAGGGAGGAAGTCACTGCAGCCATCAAGCTGTCCCTGCCCATGAGCGTCCTTGCCAACTGACCCAGCTTGCAATATCTCCTAGAGCCAGCCAAGAGTACCTGCACCTGAGCCCATTCACAGATGAAGAAGTGCATACTGTGAGCCAGGAGCAGTGCAGAATATTCCGCAGATGGGAATCCAGCCTGAGGATTCCTGTTCCTAGTCCAGTGCCCCCAAACAACACTGTTCCTGGGGCTGGGGGTGTGTGCCAAATGGGATCTCCCACAAATTTGGCTGCCAGCAAGCTGCTTAGTCAGTAGTTGAATAAGGGAATTAATCTCTATTGGTTTGGTATCAGATGATCCATCAAGCAACCAGGATTAGTTCAATTCCTCCTACAGGAAGTCAGGGCAGAAAAGAGGAAAATCAATGAGCCCTTAACCAGCCAAAAGGCTTCCCAGACATGTTATTGGGGAGAACTGGATAAGCAGCAGGGAGAAGAGGGAGGCGGAGGAGGCTGAAACAAAGGATGCGGGCGGAAAGGTCTTCCTGTTAATTTTTCATGGACCTAAGAGCCATGAGAGCCGGTAAGTCAAAATTTTGACTGAGGTCCAGATAGAATTTTTAGCTTCTCAGTGGATGTAAGACAATCTAGGATATGATGTTAGAAGATCGAAGTAATGACATTTCTGGCACAGTTCAATGTTCTGGGTCAAAGGTCAGTGAGCAATTTCTATAAGGTCTGGATCCAAAACATCTTCAGCTTTATGAGCCAAGAAGAAAATCTAGGACGCACAAGTGAGAAAAAAATCCACATTTTGTGTGTGTGTGTGTGTGTGTGTGTGTGTGTGTGTGTGTATGAAAGTCAAAATGTAATAATAATAATAATTAAACACAATTTCTTTTTAAAATATGGTTCTACTAATGAGAGGATAGGATTCTTTGGGGGATTATAACAATTCACTTAATTGAATTTCAGAGTTTGTGTCCCCTGTCATGAAATCAGTTGCAGATGGTTATCTGTTAAGGCCAATGGGTGATGGATTTTACATGTCAGATCTGAAACATCTTTTCGTGCCCATCGTGACAGGTGGCACCACCATGCTTTTTAGTGTGCCAAGC